GATTTTATGAAGATTTGTTTCTCAAAACTGCGTGAAGAAATTGATTTCATTTAACCAGCTCATCCTTGACGGTGATTTTGTGTATGGAAGCTTCGAATCGTGTACCGAATCTGGGCAATAATGTGGCTCACGGCATTTTCTTCCCTCTGTGGCTCCTTTGTCAGCCCATCACCCGTCAACATGCAATTCGCTTGTCCTATCGAATCAATTGGGCAGCATTGTGGGTCACATGCCTCATCAGGAGCACCTGCCATATATTGGGGCGCATGACATGTCGTTGCGTCACTTCCTGGGTTATGCTGTACCCCCCCCCATCTCCCATGCTGCTCAGGAGGGAGATTTGGGCTTCGTCTTGCTTCCTTGACGCCGTCAGGAACGGGTCGACCTTGGGAGGGCACGAAAGGTCAGCCTGCTCTCGCCATCTCCCTCATCTCCTGCGAGCCGCCGAGGTGTCAAGTTTTGTCATCTTAATTTGCATAGATGTTTGTTAGTGACAGCCCCCCCCTGCTCTCAATCAGAGACCGTCAGTGTGGCCAGGCCGGAGCGGATGTTGGCGGGGCCTCAGAGGCAGGAAAGACTTTGGGTCAAATGCAGATATGAACCAGATTTGAAGGAATATGAATAATGTCAAATGAGGTTGACCTTCACCCAAGATCGAGGTCAGGCCTTGTGGCTGAGCGGCGGCGGAGTTCGCACCAAAATCCGCCGCCAGTGAACATAGCGTGTCAGGCTGTCGAGCTGGCAGACTGTCTGGCTGGGTTCCGCTCATTGTCAAGGCTGCAGTTTGCACTGGCCGGGCGGAGGCCTTGGTGGGCTGCCGAGGCGCTGAGGGAGGTGCTGCTGCATGTTGCTTGGGCGTGGAAGTTGCCTCGGTGGCAGGCGGTCCTTGTGCCCTTCGTGGTGGTCGAGGAGCGTGATACGGAGGCAACTTGGGCTAATCATGGCTGGGGTAACCGCGTTGACGGTGCTAATTGGGGTGTTTTGTTAGGAGCACTGCTGTGTTTATGGTAATGGTTATGGCTGTTGATGGCAGTGACTGAGTTGGCAGAAGCACCAGTGACTGAATTAGCATAAACTTGAGCAGTAAGCGTAATGGCGGGAGCTGTGTCTGGTGAAAATATGATGGGAGAGCGGAAGTGGGGGGGGGGGGGCTGCACACTATCAGCGAGTGATTTCACTGCGTTGCCTGTGCTCGCGGAGACGGGGAAGACGGCAGCTTTTGGTGACTGAATCCGGCATTGTTATGGCAACGGAAAGTACGAAGATACGATCATTCTGTAAATTAAAGAGAGCCTTATTACTATTTGTTTTGAAATATTTTAGGAAATACAGTTGTAATCTGATTAATGACAAAGGCCTTTTTTATTAGTTTACTGTGGCAGCCAACCCTCACGCCTGGTAACCCGTAAAGCCGAGAGAGAGAAGCCGCCCGCCGGTAACCGTGCCCTAGTAACTGCTGTGGCCGCGCGGGCAACAGCAGATGCTGGCGTTCGCGAGACGTCGGCTCGGCGGAGGACCCGTCGCGTCGTCACGCCCTCGTGCACGCAAGATCTGTCCCTCGAGACGTGACTGTGGCCCCCCGAAGAACACGAGCACTCAGGTGTGATGTTACGGCTCAGTGTCACCTCATTCGTAATAGGAGTGTGAGTCATGCGAGACCTTGGCGGATAGCACCCTGTTGCCCGCGAGCCGCGCTGCTCATGCGACATCGCCATCAGGGAGGAGCGGGTGTCGGGGCTCCTCGAGGTGGTCAGCCTTTTATTTGCATGAACTTAGTTCGGTTGCTGTGCCGTCGCCGCGGCCGCCCGTGCCGACGCGCAGGCACTGTTCATGCACGGGCTCCTGTTACCTTCATGTGTTTTATGTTATCGCTTAAATCGCGTGTATACATTGCCATGGGTGAAAATCAGTCATATTTGTGTTAGTGATAATTCTGCGCAAATGCAACAACTGTATACCGTTAAGTGCATGTCCTTATAAGTAACATGGCATCTAAAAACGCCGAATCGACTGCAATATCCCGAGGTTGTCTGGTGAGTGGTGGCAGGCGTCATGACGAACACTGCGCCAGGAACTGCACCCAGACGCTCGCCTCTTGCCTCCTTACCTAGCCAGACACAGCTGCTGGGTCTGCTGCTCCGGGAAATTCAGCAGACGCAGCTGTTGGCGATTTCCTGGAGGTCTCGGCCAGTCGACGTAGCCAGGGCGAATCGACACATTTAGAAACTGCCGAACATTTCAACCCCTCAAGTTTCTCTCTTCCCACCTACGTCTTTCGTTCGCGGTAAAGGATGAGTAAGACCTGTCAGTAGTGCATGGACAGCTGTGCCCACAACAGGTGTTCTGTCGCCGGTGCACCTGTATTCCAGTCTGTCTGTCTGATCGGCCGTGTCTACCTGTAACTACGGTGCTCGTTGCTGTGGGGGTGTGAGGGTTATGTGACGAACGCATCTGTTGGCCGGGCAGTGAAATGTTGGTCTGTGTTGGTGTTAGTGCACAG